AATTGCAGCCCCAGTTTAATTTCCTTTATATTATTTGGGAGGTGCACATTGCCACGTCGTCCTTTTAGCAATGGAAAACAGGTGTGCACTTCGATCCCTTTTCTTGCATCCTTTAAATCATGTAATTGGTCAGCCTGTGTTCTGAACTCAACAACAGACTTACCTCTTTCCAAACCCTTCCCTGTTTGAAGATTACGCCATCTGGTTTCGGTTTTCACTGAACTTTTTTAGATCACCCCGCAGATTAAATGTTATTTTTGTTTATGACCTTCATTATGGAGACAGGCTTCTTTGCCAGAACAATCTTTCCCCAATGGAGACTTTCCGAAACGGGGAACTTAGCAATGAGACAGGTGAAAATATAATCAAGAGAATACTAAACTTTAAGGAAAGTGGGTTAACATCAAAGATAAAGAATAATGAAGATACAGAATTCTTTTTAACTTGGGCTTTGTTTTATTAATGGTTAGATAATAAATTAGAAACTGGAAGAAAACTATTGTATTTAAGAAAAGAATATTATTATTACTAGAATTATGTAACAATAATCTTCTTTCCTTATATGCAACAGTATTGTTGTAAAATAGTTTGAAAACAACGGCATTCATGTAAAATGACCCAGACCCTCTGCTCAAGCAGAACTCCCTATACCATTTCAGACAAGTGACTGTCCACTCTCAAATTCTGAAAGACTGCTATCCCGTCACCTCCAAACAAGTAGGAATTTTAATGACAACGGTGGTTAATTTTAATGACAAAGCACGAGAAGGAGGCTGTTCGGTTTCTAGTACCGTTCGAGGAATTGGATTATGCTTTTGAGACTACTCCTCGTCCCAGGAAATTCCAGGGGCCCAAACCCTACGAGCAACGAGATCCCGTGGAATCCATCCTCCAGGTGAAGCCAGGTGACAGACACGCCATTGTCTTCCAGCCGTTTCTTGTACAGCAAGCCTTCGTCTCGTAAAACGTCGTACGCGCAGGTTAAAAGGAATGTGTCTGGAAACCGGCGTAGGATGGCGTCCTCCGCCAGGAGTGGTGAAAATCTGGCCTCAAAAATTGCCGCGCATTCTTTGAAAAGAGCCTCTGAAAAGCGCCCAGGTACGAACGGCACGTAACCTCGGGCTTTAAATTCTTCTGGAATAAGTTCGGCGCTGATCCATTTCTGGTACTTGATTCTGAGCTTCTCCGGGAAGCTATTCTATATTCTCTTCTATATTTTCTGTTCTGCTCTTCTGTTCTAAATTTTATTATTCTATTATAAATTTTATTATTCTACTCTATTCTGCATTCTATTCTGCATTCTATCCCTATTCTATTCTGTTCTGTGTTCTATTCCTATTTCTATTCTATTCTGCATTCTAGTCTATATTCTAAATTTTATTGTCCTAGCCCCATGATAATGAACCTATGGCACGCATGCCACAGGTGATATGCAGAATCATTTGTGCGGGCACGTGAGCCCCAGCCAAACTTACCTGCATTGCACATGTGTGTGCCTCACAGCTGATTTTTCGACCGTTTGAGGCCTCCGAGAGGCTCAAAGGAAGCTTCTGCAGACTCAGGAGACCAAAAAACAGGCCTTCCAGAAATAGCGGAAGTGCTTAAACAGGCCCGTTTCAGCCTCCCGGAGACTTCCCTCAAGCCTCCGGGAGGCTGAAAACGGCCTCAAACGTCAAAAATCAGCTGGGAGGTGCGCACAGGTGCAGTGCAGGTAAGGAGGGCAGGGTGTTGTACACGCATGAGCAGAGAGGGAAGGGCGTATTGCGTTGTGGGTGTTGTTGCATGCTTGCAACACAGAACAACAAAAAGGTTTGCCATCACTGTCCTATCTTAACCTATCCTCCTAGCCTTTCCTGCCTCAGTGGCGCAGTGGTTAGAATGCAGGATTGCAGACTAATTCTTCTGACTGCCAGAAGTTCGATGCTGACCCAGATTGTTGGGGGCAATGAGCTGACTTTATAATCTGCTTGGAGACTCCACCACTTTCCCCCCACCACCCCAAACAGTCTGGGGCGTCATTTGACCGACCTCGGAAGGACGAAAGGCTGAGCCAACCTTGACACCAGATGACAACATTCGTTTTAATTCTGTGGCACCTACATACCACATCTTACAACCTCCCTGAGGCATGGCATTACAAAAGCAAAGATATTGCGAGAGAAAACAGCAAGGCTGGTTTCCCCATTATGCCCGCAAGGCCAGCTTCACACGGCGAGCGACACCCAGAAACGCAAACACAAAAAAACCAACAACCTGGAGTGTCCAGAACGATCTCCAACAGCAGCCTGAAGGGATTCAGGAAATTAAAATAAATAAAACCACACGTTTATTTTGTCTTTTTATTTGCTGGGATGCCACAAGAGGGTATTGGAACTCAGCCGGGCTTACGTTTAATGAGTCGCTGCCGAAGAGTTAAATTGTTCATTTTATTTTTATTTATTTATTTTGTCCAGTGTGCATTTGATAATATATACAAGTATAAACATGATTATGAGTACGATACATGAAACAGATACGAATAAAAGGGAACATTAAGACAGGGACGGTAGGTACATTGGTGCACTAAAGGGATTTATTCCCACGCCTTTTGTCTTCAACGCAACGCATTTCTGCAGTGGGAAAAGTAAACTTTACACTTCATCAAGAAATACTACATGCAGTTTTGGTCACCGTGATACCAACAAAATTGGAGACTTCAGAAAGAGCGTAGCAAAGAGCAACAAGTAAGTTTAGGGGACGGGAGGCTCACACCTGTGAAGAATGGGCGCAAGAATTAAGTAAATCTCGTTTAATGGAAAAGAGGAGTACGGGGGGCCTTAATAGCAGTCATCCAATATTTGAGGGGCCGTCATGGAGAGGAAGGAAGCACCTCAAAGAGGACAAGAAGTCATGGATGGACGAACATAAAAGCGGTCCATCACTTCAATCAGAGTAGAGCTGAAAGGAACCCTGGAGGTCTTCTAGTCCAACCCTCTGCTCAAGCAGGACTCCCTATACCATTTCAGACAAGTGACTGTCCACTCTCAAATTCTGAAAGACTGCTATCCCGTCACCTCCAAACAAGTAGGAATTTTATGATCGTCAGAACAATCCCCCAGTACAGCAACTTGCCTGGAGCGCCATGCATGCAAGTGGAAGAGGTGGCACGCTCCTCGCACCAATGGAGTTGTGCATGGGTGCCTGTCACTCTCTGTCTCACAGAAATGTGCGCACCAGGCAAAGGTCACCAAGCTGGAAAGGCAAACAAAACACGAGAAGGAGGCTGTTCGGTTTCTAGTACCGTTCGAGGAATTTGATTATGTTTTTGAGACCCCTCCTCGTCCCAGGAAATTCTAGGGGCCCAAACCCTACGAGCAATGAGATCCCGTGGAATCCATCCTCCAGGTGATGCCAGGTGACGGACACACCATTGTCTTCCAGCCGTTTCTTGTACAGCAAGCCTTCGTCTCGTAAAATGTCGTACTCGCAGGTTAAAAGGAACGTCTCTGGAAACCGTTGTAGGATGGCGTCCTCCGTCAGGAGTGGTGAAAATCTGGCCTCGAAAGCTATTGTGTATTCTTTGAAAAGAGTCTCTGAAAAGTGCCCAGGTATGAACGGCACATAACCTCGGCCTTTAAATTCTTCTGGAATATGTTCGGCGCTGATCCATTTCTGGTACTTGATCCTGAGCTTCTCCGGGACATGAGCGTTGAGCATCACTGCATC